TTTCTGAAAGAAAAAAAAAAAAAAAGGAATAATGGAAATCCATCGTACGCTTTGCCAACTCCCCCCCAATTTTGCAAAATTATATAGTAACCAGAATATTTACATTGAAACAACCCATTGATTTTATTATTTCCTTTTACTTGTACTCATATTTGTATGTGTTTACATAGTTTTTTGCACATGTCTGAGTCTTAACCAAATTCCTTTTCTTTTTTGAGACAGGGTCTTACTCTGTAGCCCAGGCTGGAGTGCGGTGGCACAATCTCTGGTCACTGTAACCTCTTTCTTTTGGGCTCAAGCAATCCTTCCTCCTTGACCTCCTAAACTTCTGGGATTAAAGGTCTGAGGCACCACGTGTGGCCCAGATTTCTTTGAAAGGGCTAATTCCTCCATTATCTTTGTCAACAGTACCCTTGGGTTTTGTTTAGTTTATCCCTCTGGAAGTCAAGATTGTTTTATACTTTTCAAATAGCTTTTGACATTTAAATATTTCATCTATTTGAACTTAATTTTGGTGTAAGGTATGAAGAGATTTATCTGATTTTTTTCCTAAATGGATTAGACCCAATATAACTTACTGATACCACCAAGTAGTTGACTAGGTTATTGAAATAGTTGTTAAAGGCCGGGCGCGGTGGCTCAAGCCTGTAATCCCAGCACTTTGGGAGGCCGAGGCGGGTGGATCACCAGGTCAAGGGATCGAGACCATCCTGGTCAACATGGTGAAACCCCGTCTCTACTAAAAATACAAAAAATTAGCCGGGCATGGTGGTGCGTGCCTGTAATCCCAGCTACTCAGGAGGCTGTGGCAGAAGAATTGCCTGAACCCGGGGGGCGGAGGTTGTGGTGAGCCGAGATCGCACCATTGCACTCCAGCCTGGGTAACATGAGTGAAACTCCGTCTCAAAAAAACAAAAAAACAAAACAAAACAAAAACGAAATAGTTGTTAAAGGAAGGTACCATTAAAAAAAACATACATGCATATTTACTGATCAAGTATGGTGATGAAGAACTTAGTACTCATGTATAAAATCCCAGGGAAAAGTTTTATTGGCCTTAATCAGGTCATAATGCCTATCTCTTGGACCTATCACCATGGCCAGAGGCTGTAAGTTCTGTCAGAATATGACCGAAATGCTTCTGAAAGGGAAGTGAAGACTGTATTTTAGGATAAGTAAAAGGGTGTAGTGTATATTTTAAAAAAGGCATTCTATGGGTTGCAATGTTTGGAACATTTTATTGAAGTACAAAATTGTTGGAATTTAGCTAATAGAAAAACAGTAAATATTTACAAAAACACTGATAACATCACTCAAGTCACACACAGGTAACAATGTAGACAGGTCTTTAAAAAGTTACAAATTGAAATTATGGAGATATGAATCTAATCACTCATTGCTGAGCATGGTTATCAATATAACATTTAAGATCTTGGAGTAAATGTCCCCCAGTCTTCTGCAATCCAGTGCCCTTTAGAAATTGGTTGCTCTCTTTGGGAGATTCAGACTCAGGCGCAGCCGGAGGGGACAGTTAAGAGCTGAAATCATCACATAACTGGTCTAATTTTCTTCATTCTATTGATTGTGTCAAGTTATAGACACAGTCAAAGTGTTTTTCTTTAGTCTCTGATGATTTGAGAAGATGAAGAACATGAGCAATTTCTCATTGCCTGAACAAAAATTTGACACATCAAGAGGCTGAGTGTGGAGTATCCGTAACTAGAACCATAAAGTTCTATCTGAGGGTACATTATGTATAAAACTAAGATAAAACAGAGAATTAACTATGCTGTATCTCATATTTACTAAAAGTAGGAAAGGAGGCAGAGTGACATTTTTAAATCAAACTGCTCTAGTTTTAGCTTAATGGATGGTTAATAAACACACTGCTTTATGCTGAAGTGACCACATAACTATTTCTAGAGTTCAGAAGAACTTAAAATCAGGATTTAAAGACAAAAGAAAGCAGGCTCAAACACAAAACAGAGAACAATTTCCATGGTCAGTATTTAGACAGAACTATAAAAAGCTAAAGGGCTGGGCGCAGAGGCTCACACCTGTAATCCTAGCACTTTGGGAGGTGAGACAGGTGGATCACCTGAGGTCAGAAGTTTGAGACCAGCCTGGCTAATGTGGTGAAGCTCCGTCTCTACTAACACAAAAATTAATTAGGCGTGGTGGCTAGTCCCAGATACTTGGGAGGCTGAGGCAGGAGAATTGCTTGAACCCAGGAGGTGGAGGTTGCCATGAGCCAAGATCACGCCACTGCATGCCAGCCTGGGCGACAGAGTAAGACTCCATCTCAAAAACAAAACAAAACAAACAAAAAAGCTAAAGGACACTTGGGCTCTACTCACTTCATTTTGATGGTCTTGTACTGAAAACACTTTCCCCAAGCTAAATTCAAAGGGGAGGAAGTTAACAGCTTCAGGTAACTTTAAAACCAGTCTTAGGCTCAATAAGATAACTACTTAAAATTTTTAACTGCCTCACATTTTAAAACAGATCATCTTCATCTGACTCTTCCAGGTACGTTATAGGTTTCTTTGCCCGTCCAGATTTTGCCCGAGGAGCCAGAGCTGAATCAAAATCCATATGGAAGTCATCACTCTCCCCCCTGGATTTCTAAAAGAGGAGAAAGCCCAGGTAATTTGTACAATGTAAATCTGACAACATAACTGCAATGTAAAAAAAAAATTATCAAGACTACTTTCAAGGAGTTTTCTACTTTCTATCAAGTAATAAGAAGCAGATCTAAGGCCAGCTCTTCCATTGCCCAAGTAAGTGGCATATTTATTAACTTTGTTAAAACTAAATATTACGGTAAAAGCTAATGAATTATGAGTCACTTTTCTTAAAGACATGCCAAATTATTAAGAGCAAGGGCTTAGTTATGTCCTTCAGAATATCTACAGCAAAAAGACTGACTAGGATTAACACTCACCTTGCTTGTGACTGCTTTAGAAACAATTTTCTCAAAATTAGAGTCAGAATCATCAGAAATGGATGGCTTCCTTTTGCGGCGATTCTTGGTTTTCGCAGGGTCAGGCTTTTGAGAGACACCAGAATTCAAGGCTGGATCCTTTTTAGTTCCTTTTGGGGCAGCTCTTTTTTTGGCACCGGTAGTGGTGGTGGAAGACTGACCTGCAATTCAACACAGGCATTTGTCACAGCCGCTATTTTTTTGAGATGGAGTCTCACTCTGTCGCCCAGGCTGGAGTACAATGGAGTGATCTTGGCTCACTGCAACCTTCACCTCCTGGGTTCAAGTGATTATCCTGCCTCAACCTCCTGAGTAGCTGGGATTATAGGCGCAGACCACCATGCCCGGCTAATTTTTTAGTAGAGACGGGGTGTCACCATGTTGGTCAAGCTGGTCTCAAACTCCTGACCTCAGGTGATCCACCTGCCTTGGGCTCCCAAAGTGCTAGGATTACAGGCATCATTAGTCACCATGCCTGGCCTAGTCACAGCCACTCTTAGATGGATTGTTCTCATTGTGAACTTTCTTCAGCAATGTGATGACTGTGTATGTTTAACAGGAAAAGACAATCTAAGAGAGCTGAAAATATATTAGAAAATCAAAGTATTCTTAAACATTCAATTTTTTTTTTGAGACAGAGTCTTGTTCTGTCTCACCCAGGCTGGAATGCAGTGGCGAGATCTCGGCTCACTGCAGCCTCTGCCTCCTGGCTTCAAGTGATTCTCCTGTTTCAGCCCTCCAAGTAGCTGGAACTACAGGCATGTGCCACTTCACCTGGCTAATTCTGTATTTTTTTTTTTTTTTGA